CAGTGCAGGAAGCTCACGGAGAATGTGAGCGGCACGGAGGTGCTCGAAATCCACAAGTCCACCGGCAGGGCAGGGCCCATTAGGGCATGCGGCTGGCGAGAGGAGGGACTTCAGACGAGTCCGCAAGCAGGTCGCTCATGAGAGGCAAGTTCCCATCAACATTGCCCGCGCCGGCCAGAGAGAGGCCGAGCAGGCTGGCAGCAAAGGCACGGGCGGCTGCGATGGACAACACGGCCGATCAGCGAAGTGCGAGGGCGGAGGTGCAGGCTGCACGAGAAGGGGCTGGCACAGCGCGAGCGCGGCAGCGCACGAGCACGAAGGTGGATGCTTCGGAGCTCCACCGGCCACCGACTTCGATGCCAAGGACTGTGAGATGGCATCGCCGGGAGGCAGCGAGCTCAGGGTACGCCCGCTCCTTGGCACGACGGGCAACCTGGAGGGCTGCTCCAGCAGTGCGGCCTCGGATGCGGCGCGGAGCACCAGCAGACGTGAGCGGTGCGACGAGCGTAGTGTCAACGGCAACTTGTGCTCCATTCCAAAGATGAAGGCCATTGGTGATGACCTCAATCCGGCGCTCGTCTAGCCGCCCCGGCTCAACATTCAAGTCCCGAAGCAGGACGTGTTGCTGGACTGTGGCTCCCCTGCGTTGAGCTGCACACGGGCATGTGCCCACAACGCACAACGCGCTGAGGCGACGCGACTACATAAACGCGTCGAGGAAAGCAACAATTACATCCCCATCCTGCAAAAGCCCTTCAGCCTCGCGCAATGCTGGCTGGATGGCTAGAAAAAACCGAGCGGGCACCAGGGCATCGCCTTGCTTTCTTCCTTCACCCTGCACAATCTCGTGCGCGGTGCCTGAGCCATCATACCACGTGTAGCTGCTGGGGACTGCATAGAATTGGCAAACATAAGGGAGCAGTGGCTGCAAGTCAAGCCTCCCCAGCAGCGCATTCAGCATGGACTGACGAGCAATGTGGTCGAAGGCGCAGACTGCATCAACGGAAAGCACGGTGGCTCTGGCATCCGCCTCCTTGGCCGCGCGGAGCAGGCGGATGACGGCCTCAGTGCCGGCACGTGTGCTGAAACCGTGCTGGTGCGGTAGGCGCGCTGCCTGAACTGCAGGCGCGAATTGCTGGGCTAAGGAACGCCCAACAACGCGGCGCAACACATCCCCGACTACGAGGGCCCGAGGGCCCGCGCCCAGCCATTGGACTTGCGCAACGCCACAACACGGCTGACCCGCAGACCTACCAGTACAGGCTCAGGGATGGCCGCAGCAGCTGCTGTGCTGAGAGGGTGCGCAAGTGCCCATTGGTCATGCCCGACGGGCTTGCAGCTGATCCGCGGCGAGCTCCGCGCAAACAGGACAAAGCTTTGCAGAGGGAGTGGGCATGGGACAGGGGCTTGGAATGCAAGGACCTCCGCAGGCATTGGGGAGTACGGTGCCGAGTGTGTTTGCGGTGCCAGGCGCTAAGGGCTCTGCCACAAGAGCGCGCCCAGCTGCCGATAGTTCCCCAAGATGAACAAGGGTTGCTGTTCGACGCGCGGGCCTCATCATCAGGAGCAGGGAGCCGCGCACCCCCGCCGACAGCCCCGGCTGCTTCAGCCAACAGTCGATGCCACTCCCCGGAATCGAAAAGCTCACATCAGTTTCCTGGGCGGGATGCGTGTTTCCCCAAAGCTCCGGCAACGAAGCATGCGTGGCGCGAGGCTCAAGCCATTTTGGCTCAAGGCCAATTTCAGTTTCAGCCCTTAGGCCGTCCCATCACAAGACTCGTGTTTGGAATGCAGAGCCTCCCCAGATGTCAGCACTCCGCAGCTCACCCGAAGATCTTGTATGCGTCGGCGACTGGTCCCTGCCAGCAGCGCAATGAGCCTCACTGTCCTGAACGCTCTGCTGGGATCGGATGTGTGTGTTTGCCACCAAGCCAAACGCGCGGCTTCGGCGGCCCCCCGCTGCAGTGATGTAGCCCTCTTCCCCAACCAAATGACGGACGACCCATCCAAGGTGGATCAACGTGCTGGATGGGAGAATGGTGGCCTCCGCTGATGCTGCTTCAGGCAAGTGGCCGGCAGCACGTGCAGGCCCGCGGGGCAAGTGGGAATGGCAGGCGCAGCTGGCAAAAGAGGAGAACACGAAAATGCGCACTGGGGAGTGTGACATCCTCATGTGTGCGCTCGAAGGGCAGGTGGGAGGCTCAAACAAAAAAACGTCTCGAACGCGCGCTCGTTACAGGCGCGGGCAGCACGGCGCTACCATCCACGGAGGCGGTCACATGGTTCCACGCGGCTGGTGGCATCAACATGGGGCCGCGTGGCTTCCTCCCAGCCCAGCACTGCGTAACCTTGGGCGCAGAGGTGCACCGCCGCGTGTTGCGCAGCCGCAGCTGACGGCGGGCGAGAAAAAAAAAGAAGCGCCCGGCTTCCACAACCAAAAAATAACGCGCCCGGCCCCCACAACAAAAAATGTGCCCGGCCCCCGCAGCAAAAAGAAAGGCGCCCCTTGTCGGGCATTTCCATGCAAATCGGGCTGTGGCGTGCGATGTCCTCATATTGTTGTGCCAGAATCGCGCTGTGGCCTGGAGCATCATTGTATTTTCATTGCGCTCTCGCATGTACTCGTATTTTCGCGCAGACACTCCCACCCCGTGGATGGGATGACCGCAGATGTTAGACGCCGTCCTGGCCGTCCCTCGGCCAACCCACCATCTTCACACATGGGCGCGTGCGACGCGGCAAAGTCCGTGGACGGGGACGTGCAGGCGGGCTTGGCAGGGCACCCACACAACAGGCCGCCAACGCGATGCCTGCAACCCCGCACTACTGCAGCGCGTCGCGCGCCAAGCATTTGAGCACACAGTCGAAAAATTGCACAAGCTGCAGGCATCTCTGCGCTTGCACAGGCTGTGCGCCAGACAATGCATCAAAGCTCGGAGCTGAATGGAGCTGTTTTTTGACGGGCGGGATGCACCCGCCGTCCCCGCGTGCTGTCGTTCCGGTCGGGGAGCCACACGCATATCTCGTCCTCGGAGCTGGCCCGCCGCGTTGGCCTCCTCGCCCGCGATGGGGTGACCAGCGCGATCAGGCCAGGTCCAGACCCAAGAAGGCGCACGCCGACGGCATGGCACGGATGAGGATCTCCAACGGCGGGCTGAGAGGGCCGTGGCATTGGGGTGAGTTGTCAGCGGGAGGCGGCCCCCTAAGCGCTGGCAACGTTGGAAACAATGGCGGAACTTAACCGCCAGCGTGACAGCCGCTGAGCAGGCCGCGCAAATGCTCGGCGAGCAGGGTTGCGGCGCACCAACTTGGGAAGCCTCGGCGGTGGCGGAAGCTGGCCGGAACCCAAGCGGACAGGCGCGCGGCAGAGCTGTTGTTTGCTTACGCGGCTGTTGCATCACGAGCGCTGCGAAGGAACTCCTTCCAACTTTGCAAAGGTGCTCCCCCTGCTGGGCAACAAACAGCTGAGAAGTCATCGCGGCGGGCATTTGCCAGTTCCTTGGTCGACCTACTATTCGCAGGTGGGTGCTGCGTCGAATGGTCCGAAACAATCGTTTACAAGGATCTGGCTGACATTCTGCAGCCTCCCGTCCACCTGCCTCACCTGCCCCTTGCTGCGGAAGGTCAACAGTCGTGGCGGCGCCTTGTGGGCTGCCCGGTTGGATTTCGATGGCTGCACAACAAAGCTGGAGCCGGGCCGCCACCGGTACGAGTTCTCGCGGACGCACGCTGGCAAGAGGCCCCGCCTGCCGGAGCCCCCACAGCGCGTGAGTGGCACGTGGCTGGTGCCAGGGGAGGAAACAGAGGGCAACAGGGGTTTTCTTCAATGGAGTTCAGTGAATCGGGTTTCCAGCACCCACATCATCTTGCAAGATTTCGCAGGTATCGCTTCAGGCATGGATCCATGTGAGTCGCACGATGCAAGGGAATGGTGCATTATTGTTGTTCTGCGTGTCCCCCCCCCCCAGTGTGGGCAATTCTAAAAACCCAACCAGTCTTCTAAAACCCCCATCGGTAAGTGCCTGCCCCCGGCTGAGGGGGCTACTTCTACGATCTAAACGCACCCAACGGCAAGTTCAATGCCACCGGCAGCGTCCACACGTCCGCCCACTGTGCCATAGCAGAGGATGCAAATTCATGGCAGGTTTTCCATTAGTGCGTCATCGCCAAGTTTCCAAATAGTGAACGTGGCTGATGACGGATTTGCTCAAAGGCTTGATGTTCGCTTGTGCCGAACCCAACCAAAAGCGATGTTTGAGTTCGGGCTGACCAACGCCCCCAGATATGGTAGCATATATTGCAGTCAATAAAGTCAACGCGTTGGCTTTGGCTTCAAAATCAATGTTTCGCAGAATATCCCTAGACTGCGCCGGTGTCAGGTTTGTGTCATGCATTACATAAAATTGCTGCGGTGCAGTTGGGAGATTTGCGATGTCCACCCAACCACCAAATTTCAGATGCTCATACAAGGCTGTTGTGCCGTAACATCCGTGTGAAACTTTGATGTAGAAGAACAGCTTTGTTCCCAAACCGTCGGTGTGCAGAATGGCGTCTGTTCTGTGTTTCGAATGGACTTATAAGTCCATGGTTTCTCTGTTGCAATGAGTGTTCCAGCGCACAAGTTACAACGTGGAAGGTTGTGTCACCTGATTACACTCCATGGATAATGGCAACCGATGCATTCAGGCTCGACAGCTGGCTCACGTTGCGGCATGCGATTGTTGAATGCATGTAATTGCTAGATGCGCGTGTCTGCAGTATGTGCCGCATCAGATGGCATCAGTGGCCCGGACGGCCGATCTTGTCAACCAAAATATGTACTGAAACATTCCAGTTTCCACATACGCTATGGGATCGATGCTGTCCAACCCAGCTTTGACGTGTTCAATCTGGGCTGGTTTGGCTGGCTTGGCTTGGTATACATGGAGTCTTGGCTGGCCAGGAAATGTTTTGCCCTGTTTTGGGGTGTGACCCACTTGATCTCGAGGCGCAAGAAGCGAATGGTTGAATCCTTACCAGACATCAGTGTACCTGAGGCCAGGATATCAAAACTAATCCCTGCAATGGCATTAGGCACTTCATTGAGCAAGTGTGTGCGATCAGGCGTTGTATGCCTTGGCGCAACTCAGCTTCCATGCTGCGCACGCTCGTGTTGGTGAAGCCCTGGCAAAGTGTTCTCAGGCGAGCGCCATGCCGGACCAAACGAGCGGCATGTGCAAGAGCACTGACGAGCATTGTAGCTGGTGAGGCACCTGCAAGCTGAAAATTTCGATCTGGCACGATGTGTAATGGTTCTTAATGTACTTCGAGTTGAAGGTGCAGGTGTTGGAGGAGATTCTCGATGAGTCCCAAGGGAAGCACCCGGAGCGGGAAGCATAGACGTACATGAAACATTGTCGATTTCTGACACGAGTGGTGAGAGCTAGGTTTGGAGGCGTGCTGCCTGATGGCCGCGGTGTCCTGTCGGTCTCTGGCTTTAACATGAACGGTGGAAGCTTGCACCCATCTGGGATGATTGGTGAAAGCAGAGGTTGTGCTGGAAGATTTGGCTTGCCATACCGTAGACGACACCGAGGCTCGGAAATAAGTTAAAACTCAGCAAAGCTTCTGTATAGTGGAGCTCTGATGGCTTAGGCGTTCGCAGATTTACTTCTGCAATGTACAGATTTCGATGCAACTTGGCAAGTTGGATGATGTACGCTCAGAGAGCCATGATTTCAAGCGCTGCTTGCCAGGCCAATTGGGATGACAGTGATGAATGGAACACTTTGACTTTGCAAGCTGTTGACTACTTGAGGCGCTGAGACAGGGCGAACGAGCCATAGATTTGAAGCACCCCTGTCCCGTGAAGGCAGGATCTGAAAGCAGAGGCTTTTATCCTTGTCGCAGAGTCCAGCAAATCCTCGGTGGTGCGCGAGAAGGCCACACAAGACGCCATGTGGAAACGAACGCCAAACAAATCTGCAGCGGTGGCGAGGCATCTGTGCTACGTCGCAGACTACGTGGTGAACGTTCTCGGCTCAGCTTGCCTCCCTTCAGGACCACCTGTTCCAACCAGATTGCTTCCAAGGTTCGGCAAAATCAACTACAGGCCAATGTGAAGCTGTATCGTGTTTTCTTGTAGCCATTGGTAAAATCATCAGTTGATTTCCACTTGGGTGGAAGCGTTCTCGGCGCGCCTTGGTATGGTATTTGTGCAGACACCGATTTTGTGTGATCCCTGAAATGAGTTTGTAGGTTGTAACGACCTTGAACGGTGTTGTGCCTCCGGAGACGTCCATGATGTTCCTGTGCTGTGCTGGCATAGCAGGCCTTGTTGTACTGATTGTGTAATTGCTTAATAACGCAATGCAGTCAGGGGGTCAGCAATAGGGTGCCATGTACAATTTGCGTACGCAGAGCGCAATTGTGCAATAATCAATCTCGATACTATTATAACCTTATGTGACAAAGATGATGCACATGTTTGTGCCAGACAAAAAGTAATGGTGGAGCAGTGGCACGTGCATGGGTACAATATGCTAGCTTTGAGTGTCTCCTGCTGTTGGGGTAGAAGAGCATGAGAAATCCATGGATAGCATGCCATTGTGCGACAGCACTGCAACCGAATTCCCCGTGCACCCTTTATCCATCACATGTCTTCGAGCTTGCCCCCTTGGCTTCAGGTCTGTTAGAAGCAGCGTCTTCTACGTTTATGCCAGACATGCTTTCAATGAATACCCGGGTGCAGTGCCTCGGCCGCAGCGAAGCCAAGAACTCGCAATATCACAACGAGCGCTTCTCTTGCCCTCCAACGTAGCTGTTGCGAACGATTTGTTGGTATGCTTTGCATGGACGAGGGTTCAAGAGAATTATGTTATATACACCGTGAATACACCCAAGCTCTTCATGTTCAGGCAGTGCGACTTAATTATTGATTTGACCTGGATACGCTCCCTGACAAAGCAAAGACGCCGTCCAAAGAGACCAGCAATCTCATGACATACGTGGACCCCAACTCACGTATTCCCATGGGCCGCTATATGAGAAGGGGACGGACCCTCTAAGAACACCTGCGCTCCTCCTTTATACCATACTTTTTGAGGAGTCCCTTAGCAATTTACTACTCCAATCTGTGCATGGCTGCAGTGCTTGATCTCGCAGGTGTCCCGTGTGCATGACAATGCAAGCAGACTTGATTCGCTGCCCGACGTGTCGCAATGTTGGCTATTGTTGCGTGGAGCTCAGGCATGTCTAGATTTCGTGAGCTGGTTTACTTTCCAAGCACAAATGTGCGAAATTTATGTGTTTCTTGTGGATCGTTTTGTTTTCAGGCGCGCAGCATCTCAAGGAAGATGTCCCCCGGCATAGCTTCTGGTGCTCAAAACGAGCCTGATCGCAGCTGGTGAGGAAGAGCCAAAACAGCACGCTCTGGCCTTGCCGCTTCTTGACACCAGGGGTCCAATTCCGGAGTGTTGATCGCTCTCTGAAGAGAGTTCTTGTTGCTGAGTGGCTTGAAAGGACGGCAGGATGAGCATGGACCGCAAAGTGAGCTGGTGGCGATGCCCTAAACCCTAAACCTTTATCAGCACACCCAGGTTTCACACCCGCTCTGTCGCCTTGAAAGGCTCGAGACGCATCGAATTATAGTCCCACAGCCAGAGTTTTCATCTGATTTGCCATCATTCATATAGAATGCCCCCTAGGGCTTAATGGTAAAAGGGTGTAGGGTTCTGGGCATCCTGGGTATAAATAGTAGGTTCCATTTTCTTCTCCATTAGCTCTTACTATATAATCTCCGTATAATCCTAAATGCAAGGATTTGAAACGAGAAGGATGCACGATGGGGCTGCCACAGGAGGCCAAGTAACTCAAGGCCTGGCGAGAGTAAGTCTGGTTAGATGGATGCTTCTTTTGCAGTTTTTATTGAGTCAAATCTCACACCTGTTGCTGTTTTGCTGGGTTCGAAAGCCACATCTGAGCTCCAGTCTAAACTCCGAGCATCCCCCTCAGTAACCCGCATAGCACTCCCCCATACTACACCCTGAACCCTAAACCGTAAACCCCATTTGTCCGGGGGAGCCCTTCTGGCTCAAGGGGGTCTCCAAGTTTCTCAGCGCGACCCCTCAAAAGCAGTGGCCTGGCGCAGGCTCGGCGCCGCACAGCAGTGTGTCTACGCAGCCTTGCCCAAGACCTTGGAACAAAATCCTCTCCACACAACATTATGGGATGAAGTAGGATGTTTCCACTTTGTTTTCGATCCTCTTTTCCATTTGATTTTTCCTTTTTGGGTAAAATGCCTATATAGACACTAAATCCCCAGTTTCCATTCCATCTTGCTGTTTAGTTAAGGAATTGAAATTAAGTCACTATGATGGGGAAACCCGATTAATTACTATATATACCCATTATGGTAACTTAATTTAAGTTCCCTACCAGCAACCCAGGAGAACCCTCAATCCCAGACTGAAACGCCGATTTGCGATGCGCGGTGAAGCTGTCAACTTCCCTAAACCCTAAACCTAAAACCCTAAACCCTAAACCCTAAACCTAAAACCCTAAACCCTTTTTTTGGCAAGGCACAGGATGTCGTGTTTCTGTTCACGTCGCCGCTCATCAAGACAGCAGGCTTGCCGAGACAGGTTCCTAGTGTTTGGGGCTCAGAATTTGGGCTTCAGGGGTTTAGGGTTTCGGGTTTAGGGTTTAGGGATTAGGGTTTAGGGCCTTAGGGATTACAAGTCCAGAAGCGAAACGGGGTTCAGGAATTAGGGCCCAAGGTCTTGGGCTCGTTCTGATGTGGCACCCAAAAATAAAGCTTGGAAGTATCTGCGGAGCCCTTCATTTGAGCCAGAGCCTAAACTCCCAGTATCCCCTTAATACCCCTATAGTAGTCCCCTATGTAATCCCTTACATAAGGAGTTTAAACCCTAAACCCTCTATGATCCCCATTAAGGGAGTTTAGACTATAGTCTATTTGGTAGTTTCCCAAAATCAGGGGACCCCAATATAGACCCCAATATACTGCAGTCCATGTTGACCCCGCCTAAACCCTAAACCCTAAACCCTAAACCCTGAACCCTAAACCCTAAACCCTAAACCCTGAACCCTAAACCCTAAACCCTAAACCCCAAACCTAATTTTGAGAAACTCCCATTTTGAGAACCTCCCCGCAGGCGGCGCGCCAGCCTCGTTTGGAAGCTGCTGTCGAGGGTAAGGCCGGCAAGTCACCCACGCGGTTGAGGGTTTTAGGGTTT